AAGAAAGAAAGAAAGAAAGAAAGAAAGAAAGAAAGAAAGAAAGAAAGAAAGAAAGAAAGAAAGAAAGACAGACAGACAGACAGACAGACTTACTTTTGTCTTGTGGCTTTAATCACTTTAATGCAGCAAAGTGACTTTTAAAAGCCACGTGCCATCCTCACCTTGTCTAATGCTGTAAAGCAGGCACCGCCTGTGCTCCTGCTTTGCGTGTGCAGATGCCCTGAAGCCCAGCACGCCACACACAGCTTTGTTGGCTGCTCCTGACCCCTTGCAGCTCCTGCTCTTTGGGGAACGAGCAAACAGGAAGTCCTTCAGCCTGGATGGGGAAGAGCGCCTGGTGCTGCTCGTGCAGTTTTCCACCCATCTGTGGCACTCAACGGGCGGAAGGGTTGCTCTGCCAGGGAAGCCTCTGACCCTCAGACCAGATGGACCAATGCAGGCCCGCCGGAGTGCACAGAAATGCACGCGAGGGCACCTCGGGTGCTCCGCGGACACGGCTCACAGTCCCGTAGCTGTGTTTTCCTGCTACGTGCAGTCGGAGGAGGGCTGCCAGGCAAGCTCTCACGGAAACCAAGCAGCAGGCCTGCGGTTCTGGACGTGCAACTTAGCACAAGCCCTTTGCAGGCCGTTTCAGGAGGGAGATGCAGCGAGGTGGAGTGGGGAGGATGGCGTGGGTGGATGGAGACCGAGGCGGCTGGAGAGTAACGTACCCCAGGCCCATACTCCAACGTACGATGCATTAGGCATTGCCCATGCCCTCTCCCTCTTCAGCCCGAATCCATTTCCTCTGCATTAGCTGCTAAGGAAAACTCCAAACAAAATTGTGTAAATTGAGCCATGGGTTTTCCCGAAAAACATAAATATCCAGGGAAATGCTCAGAATAGACTATAGCAGCTCCAGCAGATGCGAATTGGCAGAGGGATGGGCACATCTCTTCCCCACCCTTGAAATTCCAGCTCCGCACATCCTTGGGAGGGAGCCGAGGCCAAGGGCAGAGAGCCCACCTGCTGGCCCAAACGATCATTCAAGAGCCACGCCCCCCCCCAAAAGCAGAGATAAGGATTTTTATGAAGGACAAGTGATTCTCAGTAAAAATATCTCTATGTGGAGCGACAGAAAGCTACGACACATTGTTCATTATCCGTGACCCATTGTCCCATGGAAAAGGATGCAGCAGAAAAGGCCGAATCATTTCCTCGGCTCTGAATGCGGCACCTGGGGCAGCCATGCCCAACCTGATGACTTTCACATGGGTTGGACTACAACTCCCATCCCCCAGCTTTCCCTAGGTTGGCCTACAACCCACGAGAAGAGCTCACTGGAAAGGTGGTCTCTGCGTTGCCTTGAGCCCCCAAAAATGGAAGAACACATCCCCCTGGCTTTAAGCCCCCCCCGTGGAAATGAATTCCCTTCTGGACCCCCCAAATGTGGCAACTGATCAGACCCTCCTCCAGGGGCGTCCGCAGCGGGGAATCCAACAGGTCAAGTTGGTGGACCCCACTGTGCCACTGAAGAAGCCCTGCCCTGTTTTCACATGTCGCACATGCTACCTACATATAAAAAGGGGGTAGGGTTTCAATTGCGTGGTGACAGCTGCCATTTTGATTTTTTCGACCTCATCTGCAGCACCCTTGATCCGACAGGAGAAGCTACTGTGAAGAAATTCCTCGCTATAAAGGAGAAGGCAAATGTTGTCTCAGTGTAGTTCCAAGGCCAAGGGTGATGCTGAAACAAACCAAGTAAATCAGTATTTCTCAACCTTGGCAACTTTAAGCTGTGTGGACTTCAACTCCCAGCTGTGTGGACTTCAACTCTTTAAGTCCACACAGCTTAAAGTTGCCAAGGTTGAGAAATACTGATTTACTTGGTTTGTTTCAGCATCACCCTTGGCCTTGGAACTACACTGAGACAACATTTGCCTTCTCCTTTATAGCGAGGA